GAAACGATTTTACCTTTAGTGGAAAACCTTTGATCTTCTTAACAAGATGAAGTATATTTTAGGGGTAGTGGTGCTGCTGGAGGCCTGTGATGTCACCAATAATGGCCGCCGTTTTCGTTTTTACCAAGAATTAGACATCAGGTTAAAACCGCAAGAAATGATATTTTTTGTGCTTTATATGAAAAATAACACATAAAATTAGCACTCTGCATGATTTTAGCCACAAGAAGACAGAAAGGTACGTTATTGTTCGCTTTTCTAAGGTGACCACTAAGTCTTTGGCCTCGGAAACAGGCTCTTAGGAGTCAAATGAATCAGGCGAGAGCGAAATTGTCGATGAACTTTGACCTAGACCAAGACTTAGTTTTATTTTTTTTCTGGTGTGAAGTCAGGATCTACGCTGGTCTGCCGACCGTGTGACTCTAAAACCGGGAACTTGAATAAGACTAGTGTAAGAAAAAAGTCTCAAATGAGTTGATTATTTTGCTAACCCGGTTTTTGAAAATCTAGGTATACACATAAAGCGAAAAATGCTGGCTCGGCCCCCCTTGGTATTTTATAAAAACAAGATGTTGGCTAACATATGAATAACCTTTAAGAATAGCAGTGATGCCATGATGACATCAATTATTACTAAAAAGGAATCTGAAGCATCCGCCATTTTGGATCCCCCATTTTAAATTGTTTTAATGTATTCTATTTTACTTAAAGCCCGTAGAAATGGAGGAATTTTTTATCATTACTTGATCTGAGTATAAAAGGACGCATGAGAAGCAAAACTGGAATAATAAAGGCTTCAGTTGTCGACCAACAAATTTCTAGCTGCTGAGTTTATTTTCACGCAAGAATTCATTGTCTAAATTTTGACCAAGCGGGGAGGGGGACTGGCTTGTTCCTGGGGTGTGACTAAAACCGTGACTATAGCAAAAGTATAAGCTAAGGCCTTAGAAATTTATTTCCGAAAATTTTGTTCTAAGGCCAACACAACAAAATTCGATCAAGATTTTTACTCCAGCAACTCTGTTGGTTGTTTTTCGCACTAAAACGAAATGCAACATATGTCTGGAACTCCCTTCCCGGCCCTACCCAACTGAGTTCCTTTTTACCCATACCCCAGAGTCTTGTACGGATGGACGGAGTACACTGACGTCATAACCAAATTTTCTGGCATCGACAGGTTTAAAAAAAGAAATTAACTGCAACAACCATGGGCGACGATCCAGCATGTTGCCAGGTTTACTGAAGAAGGCAGGTATGGCTAGCCGAAATACTGTTATGAGAAAGCAATATACGTTGTTATGATCAGCTTTGCTTTGGTCTCTCTTAGTTCGTCTCTCACCATGGGCTACAGGCAACATGAGTTTCGACTAAATAAAGGTTACAATGTCGTTTCTGGTCATTCTGCCCATATATTTCTTGTAGTAAGGCCTGGAAACATACTTTGTTTTGATTCGGAAGTCGATCTGCAGAAATGACTAGAAACGACAAAAGACTTTCAAAGTAAGTAATTTAACTTCATTAAATTAAAATGTAATTGTTATTTAGTCAAAACCCATGCTCTCACGGCTAAGTACTTTGTACTGATTTACCCCATTTAAAGAAATGGGTAAAGTGTTTGGGGCCAGATTAGAACTGGCGACCTTCCGCGTTTGGGGCGGACGTGATAACCACTGCACTATGGAAACCACAGTTAACAGATCTATGTAAGATAAAACAGAAGCCGGATGAATAAAGATAAGGCTGGAGGGGTAGTGCGTACATTTGCGAAGGAAAAACATATTTTACAAACAGCAATAGGAAGAATTGCGAGGCGGTAGTAATGGACCGAGTTATATAGCCTTAAGAAAAGACCATTTTTCAGTTGTTCAGTTAGGAACCTAGCCTTCAATTGAGTGTAAAGCCGAGGTTGACCTTGTTTTGATACAAACCTCTTTTGTCTTGATCTTGTCTTCTTATGGAAATTATGGCTGAAAAATAAAAGTTTGCATAAGAACAAGAAGGTCTCGAAACAATACGTCACTCGCCCAAGGTGCACCATTTTCAAGCACACATGTACAAGTATTTTTCAAAGCTAAAAGAAATGGTTCCCATTCACCAAACTTCAAAATTAAAACTTAATTCCGTTACGGAAAAGCCCAATCTTTGATCCATTTGTCGTGCGTGAAAATGTAAAAGACGGTTAAAAATGTCTTGTATATCTCTTTTAAAAATGGGCTTCACACTGAAAAAGATCGATTTGTCCGTATTTTCGAGTTTACAAAGATATTTCTTATCCTTGCCTGATTTCCTTCTTTTTAAAAGAGCGTCCGCGCCCGCGAAGCGCACGCAGCGGAGCCCCATACGTAAAGAAAATTGAAACCTATCGATCCAAAAAGAAAAAAAGGAGTCCAAAGCAAAGCTGATCATAACAGCGTATATTGCTTTTTCCTAACAGTATTTCGGCTGGCCATACCTGCCTTCTGCAGTAAACCTGAAAACATGCAAGATCGTCGCCCGCGGTTTTTGCAGTTGATTTCTTTTTCAAACCAGTCGATGCCAGAAAATCTGGTTATGACGTCAGCCTACTCCGACCATCCGTACAAGACTCTGGGTTATGGGTAAAAAGAAACTCAATAGGCTAGGGAAGGGAGTTCCAGACATTGCATTTCGTTTTGGCGCAAAAAAAAAAAAACAAACAAACAAACAAAACATTTAGAGGCAACCAACAGAGTTGCTGGAGTAAAAATCTAGATCAAAGTTTGTTGTGTTCGCCTCAGCACAAAATTTTTGGAGATAAATTTCTGAGGCCTTAGCTTACTTTTGCTTAGTCACGGTTTTGGTCACACCCCAGGAACAACCTAGTCCCCCTCCCTCTTCTTGAAAGTTTGGGCGATTAATTCTTGCGTGAAAAGTTACTCGACAGCAGCTAGAAATTTGTTGGTCGACAACTAAAGCCTTTTTTATTCCAGTTTTTACGTCTTATCAACCTTTTATACTCAGATCAAGTTTTGTATAAAAAATTCCTCGATTTCTACGGGTTTTAAGTAAAATGGAATACTTTTGGTGGAATACTTTAAACAAATTTGAAATGTAGGATCCAAAACGGCGGATGCTTGCGATTCCTTTTTAGCAATAAATGATGTCATCTTTGTTCAGTTCATATGTTAGCCAACTTCTTGATTTTATAAAATACCAAGTGGGGCAAGCAAGTATTTTTCGCTTTATGTGCATCTGCATTTTCGAAAACCGGGTTAGCAAAATAATCAACTCATTCAGCTACTTGGCAATTTAAAACAAGATAACTTCATTTAAAGGCCGATTAAAAGCCTTTATCTGACTCCGGGCAGTAAGTTAGTAGTTACTAGAAGCATTTCAACGAGTCCAAACTTAAAATGATGCAAATTTAGAAAATTTATTCCGTAATCTGACCCCGTGAAGTTTCAAACTGATGTCATTTCAGTCTAGAAATTTTAAAGTTGAGCGAACTGCAGCGAAAAGATGCCTGGTTATAAGGCTTACATAACAACTTATAATAAATAGTTAGCAAGACACTACTTTCTTCGCGGTGTGATAAACGACAGGGTTTCGAAAGGAATAGACAACAAACTGAATGAAACATACTACACAAATTATCACCTTAAGTTCGTATCTGCAAAAACCTGCCTTTGGTTCAAAGCCATTACGGCCCGCTGAAACTAGACCTAGGTCCAATTTCCCTGTGTAGAGATCAGCTAGAGTTGCTTTACCAAGGTACAATCAGCTAACCTAAATTAAAAGAAACGTTTTAATGGCTGGCACAGAATATTTTAGCGAAACAGCTCAACCACGCGACCACATACCTCTCAACATTATGCGGAAATCACAATCACACACACTGAGTTCGTGGCCCTGATAAGACTATCCACAACCACGCATAATCCTCTGACGTTTAACACAAGCCAAAGATCATCGAATAACTCGGAAAAACTCCTCCTGTTGGCAGATACACACCTCTGGACTTTTCTCTTACACTCGTCTTATTCAAGTTCCCAGATTTATAGTCACACGGTCGGCAGACCAGCGTAGATCCTGATTTCATACCAGAAAAGAAAAACTAAGTCTTGGTCTGGGTCAAAGTTCATCAACAATTTTGCTCACGCCTAATTCATTTGACTCCTAAGAGCCTGTTCCCGAGGCCAAAGACTTAGTGGTCACCTTAGAAAAGAGAACAATATCGTACCTTTCTGTCTTCTTACGGTTAAATCATGCAGAGTGCTTATTTATGGTCCTATAAAGCACAAAAAGATATCATTTCTTGCGGTTTTAACCTGATTTCTAATTCTTGGTAAAAACCAAAATGGCGGCCATTATTGGTGACGTCACAGGGCTTCAGGAGCACTACCACCCCTAAAATATACCTCATTTTGTTAACAAGATCAAAGGTTTTCCACTAAAGGTAAAATCGTTTCAAATCACTGCAACATATCAAAAACTCCGGGGAGGGGTTCCATTTACCCCCCCGCCCCTCCCCCACCCCCTTGTACCACAGTAGGGGTATGAATTTGCGTACGTCCGAGCGATAAGATACCGATTATTCCTCGAACTCTACCCTTATTATGTACGGTAGTTTCCGTAGTGTAGTGGTTATCACGTCCGCCTAACACGCGGAAGGTCGCCAGTTCAAATCTGGCCGGAAACATTTTACTTTTTTCTTTCCTTGAGAAAAATGAGTAGAGAAAGTACTTAACGGTGAGAGTATGGGTTTCGACTAAAAAGCGTTAAATGTTTTATTTAATAAAGTTGAATTACTTACTTTGAACTAGTCTTTTGTCGTTTCTATTCATTTCTGCAGATCGACTTCTAAATCAAAACAAAGCATATTTCCAGGCTTTCAGCAAGAAATATACGGCCAGAAATGAGCAGAAACGACGAAATAATCCTTCACTGTAACCTTTATTTAGTCGAAACTGGTGTTTCCTTTAGCCTATGGCGAGAGCCGAACTAAGAGAGACTAGGAGCCCCGAGGAGACAAATTGGTATTTCGCTATTGAAGTCTGGGCTTGTGCATGGACTATAGAAAAGATGCATAAGACTTCAGCTAAATTAAAGTTACATTTTTATTTAATAAACTTGTATGTAACGTTGACATGGTCAAAAATTACTCTAGAGGAGATTTGTCAGAGAAATTTTAAGGACAGTTTTATTCCGGAATAAGATCTATCAAACGCACCCTTCATATTAAACTTCAGGGTTGAAATTAAAAAAAAAAGCATTCCATACATTTATCTAAATCCGAAAACGAAAAGAATCTCCCCGGCGGGGAATCGAACCCCGGTCTCCCGCGTGACAGGCGGGGATACTCACCACTATACTACCGAGGAATTGGGTGCATTAAATTTAGGCTTAATGGGTAATGTAATGGGGAAACCCACCATCCTACTTTAAAGTCAAATAACAGATAGATCGTCTTAACGATGACCGCCAAACTTACCCCTTTTTCCTATAATGTGGGAACAATTTACAACGGATTTTTTAACGGGCATGTTTATCAACCAACCCCTTCCCCCCCCTCTTCCCCTCCACCACCACCGGGTAGCAGGAAGAAAAAAAGCTCGATCTGAATAGGAATTTTTAACTCATGTAAAAAGCCTGGCGGTACTTCGTCAAACGCCTTGTATATACCATTGGGTTTAGAAGGGATTTCAAGTAAAGCAGGTTACAAGACATAATTTGTCCAATCAGTAAACTCACTGAAGGAGCAAGTGTCCTTGCTTTGGAAATACCTTTTGTCCACATGACGGCTGAAGGCATAGTACACATGATCAGCAACGCCAGGAGGAACTCACAAACACTCACCCAGCTCGTAGATTCTCTGTTCTGTATCACGTGTTCGCTCGAAAACAATGCATTCTCTGTTCTGCATTACGTCATAAAAGTTACCTTACACTACTATAATTATGTTACATCGATTCGAGATTCATTCTGCCCTGGAACTTTCGCGCACTTCTTATTAGGTTTGATTAGGCTTTATTCTATTTTATTTTTCCTGACCTCGTAGTCCGTTTTACTTGCGCGTGATCGTCAGAATATGGCAAGTTTCTGCGAGTAAAAAGGCGAGCGACTGCTCCCCCGACTTTGCTTCTGCTAACACTGCATATCTATATTTACAAGTGATCAAGGGATAGTTAAATACCTCGTTTAGCAGTTTGGTTAATTACGAGGATCTTTTACTGGTAGTCAACTGCATTGTCCACTCTCGTCATATGAGGGTAAAACGTAAGATTTATGGCAGTTGTTTGATAAATGTTTTTGTAAGAGTTATTCACAGTTATTTACACAAAAACTTACACATAGCCAGAAATAAAAAAAAAATACTGACTACTTTTCCAGTTCTTTGAAGCTCAGCAAAGTAATCACTGATTGGCTGGATGGAAAGCTTACAGCATTTGACGTGAAACTTGACACTTCTACTAGTTCACCTCTGCTTCTTGTTCCAGTAGCACTTTTTGTTTCTCCCGAGTATTTGCCAGTTTTCTTGCGATAAAAACTCTTGTAAAAAGCCTCGCGATACTTCATCAAACGCCAAGCGTAAATAAATGGGTTAAGAAGGGACTTTAGATAAAACAGGTTATCAGACATAAGCTGGCCAATCAGCAAATTCACCGAAAGATTAAGTGTCTGTCCTAGGGAAATTACTATTGTCCACATAATAGCTGGAGGCATAGCACATATGGTCAGCACGGCAAGGAGCATAAAATTTACGCGCACGAAGTTGCGCTGTACTTGGGTGTGTCTACTGTCTTCCCTTGAAGTAGCTTGCCCTTGAAGGGAGTTTCCCGCTGCCATCTTTTTCTTCATCAGGCGGTGTAAAAGGATGTAGAGAACAACGGTACTGACAACTAAAAAATAGTTATGGACAATTAGATCAAACATTTCAACGTGTTGTAAAGACAAGCCCATTAAGGGAAGGCACCACAAAACTGAAGAGTAGACGTAAATGGTAGCAACGCCGATCAAAACCTTCTTCTTGGTCACCAATCGAGCATACTTTAATGGAGATGAAACCACGATATACTGCGTCAAGGTAAAGGAAAAAACGATGATAAAGGAAACCGTCATGGTAGTTGATACGAACTGTTTTCCAAAAGCCATAAAGGGTGGACAATTCTTCCGTGAAGGACTCTGAAAGTACAGAAGCATAAAACAGGCAGCGTATATCGGTTCCTGAACCAAGGCGCTCAGCAAGTCAGCTATTGCTAAACCAATGAGAAAATATGTAGTGGGATTACGAAACATCTTCAGTGGGTCCACGAAGAAAGCTAAGAGAAGGCAACTGTTGGCCACCACGGTGATAAAAGAAACAATGACGATAAAGATAGACGAACCGAAAGCTACCGAAAAGAAAGCGGCGTATGGGTTTACTGCAGCAAGTCCTGACTGGATTGAATCCAGGCACAGTGAATTATTGTTTGCTTCACTGTCATTTCCGTTCGGTAAGGACCTATTGCGGACCGACCAGGAATCGTTGCAAGTGAAGTTCATCTTTGGTTTCTTTTCTAGGATTAGGTACACCTGTTGTTGAGTTCACAGAGTCTCTTCTGATCTAGAATGGAACGGAGCTCTTTATACCTTGTTTACTTGCATGCAAAAAAAAATATATATATATATATAGAATCCCTGCCTGTTATCATTTTCATCAAAATCTTTCTTTTTTTTTCAATTTAATTTTTTCAGGTTGTTCGGTCAGTCTGTGGTATTGTATTCCTGAGGTACACTTGATTATTTTTTTTTCTTCTATTTATTTCTTAACTCTTAATATGAGCCTTAATCACCAGGGGTAACTGAATGAAAAAGCTAATTTAAAAGGCGATCATTCAGGCCTTATTTCTCTTGTGTTTACGGAAGTGTTGAACTTTATTTGTGAGTATGTAGTAACAACTTCAATAGAGTTAAATGTATCAAGTGAAAAAGTTTGACACGGAATCAGATTTATCGTGACATTATTAAAATCAAAGCGAGGCACATTATTAAATCAAGCTTTTTGAAGGGGTAGAGAAAGAACTCATTGATATCGGAGAATCTGTATTTCAAAATTTTGATTAACAATAAGACCCTTTAGTAATCGCAAAACAAGCCAGCTGATTTTAATTATATAATTCCCAGTATAATCTGTTCTTGGACAAGCAACACTGGTGATAATACCATTCGTGGTAAAAATAGTATTAATAGGTAAATGCAATGTCTTAAGAATACAATGCAGTAACATCTGCAATGATTCAATGGCTCCAATAATTCACCAAAAATTGTGGGGATCTTGTGATACAACAAGGGCGACACCAATAAAAATATCGCTAAAAATCTGACTTCGCATGCGCTTTTAGCTGAGTAGGGAATAATTTTGGAGGAGAAGAGAGAGAGGTCCGCATTCGAACTCATATGTAGTGACGAAATTATCGTCTTGCTGTTAACTTTCTCTGAGAAACTAACGTTTATCATTTCGCGTTGCAGTTCATACAGGGCGGCCGTGAATTTGGTGAAAAGCTTGAGGCTCATGCAGAGTTATTGTCTTGCTTTCTAAGCTTTCCTTTTATTTCCTTTTATTTTAATTTCAGCTGTTACAGTTGTCCTGGAAGTTACGGAATTAATACGTTTCATAAGTTCACAGGCGTTAAATTACTTCAGCCTAAATTAACCTGCAGATCATGCAGAAATTGACGCGCCTCTGAGGCCGAGCGTTCAGTTGCTCTTGCCGAAACGGTTTCACTTAACTGGTCATAAAATAGTTTCTAGCCAGCCTAAGTCGCTCATATCGTTCCTCTTTAAGATTTTTCTACGTATACCATATTTCTCCCCTTCCCTCCCATCCATTTTGATCTTCAAAAACGCACGAATAATTTCAAATTAGCGAATCACAAGTTCGTGGGCAGAAATTTACATACATTTTTCTTTTTTTCATTTTTATTTATTTTACTAACAGAGGTTATCTAACATTATAATATATAGATTTAGCCAGGGCTAAAAGCGAAGCTCTCGATAATATTTATAGTTTGTTCAAACAAAATATAAAATCGTGTAATGCTAAGCGGCGAAGGCAACGCCAGAGAACGGAGAAAAAACAACAATAGGTCTAATTAGCAAAAAAGCAACTTTGCACGTGCAGCACACTTTTCTTGTACATTTCTTTGCCGTTGTTTTGCATGACCACAACGTGAAACTTCCAGAAACTTTTTTATGGACGAAATGTCAAACGTGTTCTACTTCACTTTTTTTTTTCACTGCCGCTCATTTTCCCCTTGCATTGGTGGCCGCTAGCATTTCTCATTTTGTCACCGCCGCTACAAAATTTCCATGTTGTTCTTCCCACAAAAAATATCTTCTTTGTTTTTTATCTCTTGCTCTAGATCTCTGTTGCCCTTTTTCTCGTTGAGTTTCGCTGGCCTGCCTCGTTTTCTCTTTTTCTCTGTCTTTCTCTGGCTCTATATTCCAAATTTGTGGACATGACAATTAATCTAAGCTTAATACTTTAGAAAACACGTATACAAAAACAATTTCCGGTTTTCGGTTTCGTCTTTAATTGACTCTTTAGTTGCCTCTGCTTTACAGACGCGGGTGGCTATGCGATTTCCCGCCAAAATAACCTCGAGTTGCATTTGGGTTACCATACCTGTTGATTGAGTGATTTCACATTAGTAAGCCTGTGGTGCGGACGGACGGTCGGGCGTACGGTCACGTGATTACCAAATTTTCTCGGATGGGTAGATTACCACATTTTCTTACCCATGGTGCTCCGCAGGTGCGCTTCGCGCGCCAGAGCTCCGCTAATATCTAATTTCGCAAGAACGAGAAACATCATTAAAACAGTCCTAATTTATCTATTCTCGCTTACCTTAAACTCGACACCGTATATAATATCAAAAAATCTTTAATGAAACACTAGAAATTCCACTATATATCTTTAAAACAATAATTAAGAAATATACACTAATACCCGTATGTCCTAGAAATAACTCATTTCCGAGCTCAGAAAGCCCCCAATAAGATGATAACATGTCAAAATGAATCTTGTTTAAAGTGGCTAGACCCCGTGTTTCAGTAATAACACGTACTCTCCTTAAGCGCGAGTGCAAAGATGCCTCTAACATTGTAGGAAATCGTATTGTCAGTACCTCTGTACGATACAGATAGTAGTTTCCAAAAAGGTCAGTTTCTTTCGAGATCGACGAAGCCATGGTAATGTTGGCATGTGGCCTATCGATATTGATCATTGGCAATAATCAATGACTAATCAACTGATTACCCATTGATTACTCATCGATTACACATTGATGTCATTGACGAGATATGCCTGACGTCAAATGTCCTAATTGGTTAATCACCGTTATTCAAAACTGGAGAGTAAAGTAGCAATTTACTTAGGACAGAAGTCACGTGAGATCGCCTGAGATACTTGCCCGTTGCCCTTTAGCCATCTTCAGGTTGAGTGTGAGACTAGGTGGATGTTATGTCTGATTGCTCTATAGAAAAGATCACTCCGTTTATGATTAGCAAAATGTTTCACTCGAAAATGGAGCAAAATTCCTACACAAAACAGTCCCATAGTGCAATTCGCCACTCTGAGTTTGCGCGGGAGACCGGGTCAAGATGGTTGTCAAAGCGCATTGTGGGACTGTTTTGGGCGTCCCAAAACAGTCCCACATGGCACTTCGACAACTATCTCGACCAAGTCTCCAGCGCAACCTCAAAGTGGAGCTGAATTTGACACGACATTGACCTTGTATTAAACGTAAGCAAAAATTTGCCAATACAGAAAGCAAATTCCATAACAAGTGAAAGCGAAAATAGAAAAATTATAATGGTGTCTTTTCCAGTCAACACTACACCACCCTTAGGTCATTTCCAGGTCTCTTTGTGTCACAAGGTAAAGCAGTTTATTAAACGCAATCATTTAATAAATGTCACGGTTATTCGATTGAATGCGTAGGTCCCTTCTCACAGCACTTTCACCAAGGAGCTTTTTAGCAACGATGGCGGAGAGGGTAAAGACAAAGTTAAAAAAAACTAATAGTTCTAATAAGTAAAATAATAGCTTTGCTCGTGCAGCAAACGTTTTGGTACATTTGAATCTGAAAGTAGCACTTCGCTTGGAGCCAAGCACTGTAATGTTGTCGAATCCGAATCTAAATCTGAGTCTAAAAATGAATACTAATTTATACACTTTTATAAGGTGTTATGTAAAGTACTGATTAAATATTTGTCACGGTTGCCACTGTTGTACGAAGAAAAAAAGGAGAACTTGTAATGAATTTTAATCTAATTGCCCAGATCACTGTTAGCTGCAGTAAACCAAGTTATTAGTATCACAACTGATGAAAAAGCGTCAACAAAGTGTAGTCGTCAGTGTAATAATCGCATTATCCTTGAATGCGACGTGTATTAAAGAAATTGAAACAAAATGTTCAGTAAGGACGAGCAGTGAAGAACTTTCTTCAACTTTAAAAGTTGGAAATTTGCTTGAAGTCCAAAGTTATAACAGTTTCACGTGACTTGCTCATCTGAGCTATGACGCGATTACTGAACTTTGATCTCTCAGGCTTATCTTTGCCGCAACGCAAGACGATCATAAGCGCCTGACGATACTTAGGAATTCGCCATGTGTACACAAACGGGTCAAGCAAGAACTTCAAGTAAAGCGGGTTATCCAACATGAGATTAATGATAAGAAATTTCGGACTGTTAGGGTCCTCCGAGGAGTATAACTTAGCAATCCAAAACATTGCAGCTGGCTGCGAAGTTAGAAACAAGATGGCGATCAGAAGAAAATTGACAGTTATAAACTTACGTTCAACATCTGTCCGCCTGTCGTCTTTGCTTCCATCGTTAGTTTCCTTGTCTTCTCGAAGTCTGTTGGAAGCAGCCATTTTCTTCTTAAAAGCGATAAAAAGAAGGATATAGATAATTACGGTAAAATATATCAAGCATATGGAGTGAAATGTATCGTCAATCTTTCGTTGCGCGTCTTCAGAAACTCCCATCTCCGGCAACACGCTGAACAATACGCTGTACACATAGATAGCTAAGACGCAGATAATAACTCGCCTTTTCGTTACATTTTGAGCGTAGTTCGAAATCACAACAACATATTGTGTGAAAGTAAATGCGAGCACGATAAGAAACGAGCAATTCATCGAAGCTATAGAGATGGTCCGTCTAACACTCAATAGTTTGGGGCAGGTATAGCGGGTATCAGGGTGCCTTGTATACATCATAATGAAACACGTGGGGTACGCCGGTTCCTGCGTTGCAGCCGTTAGAATGTCGACCAAAGGAAGACCGACAAGGAAATAGGTTGTAGCACTCTGAAGATCTTCAAAGGATCGAAGAAAAACACAAGTAGCAGTAAGCCATTTGCCACGATGGTTATCAATGACACGATGAGTATGTAGATTGCTGAGCCAAACGCTAACTTGAAGAACTCTTCATAACTTCATAAGGGTTCGGTATGGCGATAGAAGGATGCCAGTTTGACTGAGCGCACGATGAGG